GGCATCGTGCCAATAACCGCTACGGTAGATACGGCTACACGTACACTCTAGTTCGCTGCGGACGGTTGGGCGTGTCAGGCAGTATGAGTGTGCACCCGTCAAAGCCGTTCTCTGCCTTCTTGTTGAAGCGCGCATGCGACCAGTGGTAGAAGAACGAAATACGAACGATATGATACAGTCATATCATTTGCTCGCTTTAACAACTGGTGGAGAACGGGTTTCAAACTCCCCCCGTCTGACTCGTCCAACCGTCCACAGAGAAATACAGTGTATGTACTCAAATATTTATGCAGTACCATAGCCGCTTCATATCAATTCCTTCGCTTCATACTGTACTTCGCAAATGATGACATACGAGCATCAGCATCGCTCGGACATTTGTGGGCGGGCGGGCGCGGTGGGTATCCGGATCGAAATATTGCAGCCTGGTAGGGCGCTATAAGAGCACCGTCGTTGGTGGAAAAGGCGCCACGCAGAGCCCGCTCACAAGTACTTTGTTTTGTCCTGTTGGCGCGTTAATCCTGATGATTTCAAAGATTTATGGTGCCACTTGCCGTTAGGAGCCTTAGGCTATCTCCCAGCTTCGCTTTTTGTCCCATTTATCTATATTAAAACCAAAATAATTAGTGAATGGAATACTAAGAAGCTTGTAAGCGTAACCTCCCAGTTCCTTAGGCATGACATAGGCTTTCGAAACTTTTGTTTCGTTACCAACGGCTAACGGAAAGAACTGTCCAACTTCCGAGTAGAGTTCTGCATTCTTCTCGTAGATCGGATCAGCACCGTAGAACTGTGAACCCTTAAATGCACATCATGTCGCTGACTCCAAAAGGAAGTTTGTGTATGTTGCAGTCAGCCGTTCTCATAGGATGAAACCATTTGCAAGCTACATAGCACAAACTCTATTAGCACGATTAGTGAAGTTATGACCGTCCTTGAACTCACACTCGGTAACATTTCCTTCAGTCTTTTCTCCGCCAACACGTCCCAGCCAACGCCCAGTGTGATGACGATTGATGGAGTTTTCTGAATAATACCTTGTACACGGAAATGGAGCAGGCTCATTCGCTATTACATGGCACACTGCCTTTCCCATCACACAATTACCTGAGGCAGTATATAACGCCGTTCACTGGAATTCGACTCAGGAAAATCTCAAAACTGGTCATGCAGCTAGTTTGAGAATTAGAAGGATGCAATAGGTCGGACAATCATTACCAAACCATGCTAGCGAATCCCACATTGTTCTTCTCTCCAACTTGAACACAAAGAACATCAGAGCTCTTAGAAACATTACGCGGAGCAGTTCGGCAACTGTGAAGGGAGGGGGAGTTGTTTTCCACTTCCGCAACTTCCCATTATCGGGTTCATCGTTTCACAAGAGTTGACAGTAGTTCCCACAAACTTTGACTGGTATCATTTCATGGCTTTGCAAGACTTCACAATAAAACAACTTGTATAAGGGGGAGCATCAAGCACTACCAACCAGGAAAAAAATCACTTCAGGAAATGTGCATTGGAAAAAATGATTTTAAGGGCATAAGGCGCAATGATGGTCTAAAAGGATAGCAGCGTTGTAAACGGTGGGAGGGTGACGGGAAGAAAATTATGTAAAACTGTCAAAAACATGCGGAAAGGCCTCAAGGTGGAGGACGAGCCACTCTGGCACAAAACATTTTTGAGCGAGTTTTCCGTGCCAGCATCATGCCAACGACCGCTATGCTAATTACTGCTGTATGTAGATGGACGCCTACATGCATCTGCCCATTTTCAGTTGTATCTCATTATTGAATCGATAAGACTATCAGTATCGATGTACCTGAGCATGATACTGATGCTTGGAAGCGGTCCTTTCGGGAAGGAGGGGTAATTCTAGCAGATAGGCCCGCATTCTCCTATTGGGTCCCTGTAGAGGGAATTTCACGATGGAAGACTTCACAAATCGCCCTCAGGCAGGTGATTCCCTTTATGCTAGGCGTTTCTCCTACAGGCATAGTCTGTATCACGTGTTTGAGAATTGAAGCACGAATCAGAAAATGTGCATGGGAATCCATGCACACTGCTTGCATTCTGTTCTTCAAACGTCCTTCAAAAGTAGAAATCAGTTCGCACCACTCAGAAAGTACCCAGAACCCTGGATCATCTTGATCAACACTATGGGTATGCTCTAATTAACACGCCTTCCAAGAATTTAGCAGAGTAAACTAACATCAGTTTTGTTGAAAATGTGGAACTTGTACTCGTCTTTGTTTTGAAGCACCGGACAAGGCGATATACTTCATCAGTGTCGAAGAGGCACATCCATTCACGGAATCACGGAATTTGCTCCAAAGCTGAAACAATACTCCTTTGCTATCTGGGACATGGGAGAGCTGTTTTTTTTGAATTTTTTCATGCCACGCTCAGTTCCTCCCTGAAGAAGGAAAGAGGCAATGAGAAAGTTCTTCTCGAAATCGAGTCTGCCACTCAACACCACTATCTCAAGTACTGCACCTAACTCTCAAATGGTAGATCTCGGAGAAATAGACTCGAAAGGAATTGCTCGTACCCGCTCTACGAATTACGAACGTACGAACTCCTATAAATAGTGGATCTGGAACAATGAAAGTTAAGAATCTTTATTATTTTTCAAACCTTCAGATCTACCACCACTAATGCAGATAACTCTAACCGATATTGAATACTCCCCTCCCTCTTCTTGTTAGTAACAACCAGTCGGATCGCCCGCCTTCGGACGGGCGATCCTCCTTATGCGTGTGAAGTGGGTCCCCGGCCATCCAAACTGAGGCCCAGTCGGATCGCCCGCCTTCGCTACAGAAAATTTTTTTGCAATTCCAGAACATTACCGTTTCACATTTGGTATATACCCCCCCCCTAGTGGACGGTTGTAAAATTTTCGTAAAGGCAAGGAGTGGAGAAGTGGGTATTGGATGCTTAGTGGATGAACTGAAGTGGAAGTATGGGTGTATTTGGG